CCATCCCTGCCCTCTGGCACTGGGAAGCCATTCCCTGTGTCCTGTCCCCCCATCCCTTGTCCCCAGTCCCTCTCCAGCTCTCCTGGAGCCCCTTTAGGCCCCAAAAGGGGCTCTGAGCTCTCCCTGGAGCCTTCTCTTGGCCAGGTGAGCACCCCCAGGTCTCCCAGCCTGGCTCCAGAGCAGAGGGGCTCCAGCCCTGGAGCAGCTCCGTGGCCTCCTCTGGGCTCTCTCCACATCCTTGCTCCATGGCCAGCTGAAGCCCTGTGCCTCTCTTTCCCAGATAAACTCTGCCACCCCAAAGCTCCCCAAAACCACAGCCCTGTCTTTTCCAAGCAAAGCAGCCCTTCTGAGGCTGGCTGTTCTCAGCAGCTCACCCCGAGTGAGTGGCACAGATGGGACTGGGTGGCACGGGTGGGACTGGGTGCCATCCTGAGAATCCACATCCCTGTAACTCACAGAGCCCTGGCAAGCTGGGGAGGGCTGTGACAGTTGTGGTGATGGGGCATTATTGTGGCACTGCCTGGAGTGGGATTAGCTCGGCCAAGTGTGATCATAGCCCTGGAGCCATGTTTGAGGTCCATCCTGTGCTGATAAAGGAGAAGGAGCACATTCCAGAGGCTTGGATGCTGGGTTGGCTGTGTTTTGTCTCTTAAAGCAGATGAGAGCTCCAAGCTCYGGCTGAGAGTGATGAGCTGTCTCTTCTCTGTGCTGTTTGCAGAAGCTGGGTATGCACAGCCCAGCACTGTCCAATTCTGCAGCAGCAGCAGCAGCTCAGGGCATGATGGACACAGGGAGAAGCTTAGGATGTGAAATCCCAGCAGCTGCTGGTGCCTGAGAGAGGAAATTGATACTTTCTCTATCAATCAAATCATCCTGGGAGCTGCTCGAGCCCAAAACCTCAGGGCAGGATGGAAGAGAGGTTTAGAGCGAATATTGGGAAAAAATTTCTCCCTGGGAGGGTGGGGAGGCCCTGGCACAGGGTGCCCAGAGCAGCTGTGGCTGCCCCTGGATCCCTGGYAGTGYCCAAGGCCAGGCTGGACATTGAGGCTGGAACACACTGGGGTGATGGAAGGTGTCTCTGGMTGGAATGGGATGAACTTTAAGGTCCCTTCCCACCCAAACCATTCTGGGGATTCTGTGAAAACTTGAAGGATCCCACTCATTATGGAATGAGGAGGAAGGTCCTGCCAGAGATGCACCAGGATCCACCCCACCAGCTCAGCTGCACAGGGAAGTTCTTTGGGGAGTTCCCTGCTGAATTAAGAGCATTTCTGAGATTCTCTGAGGTATTCTGAGGTATTCATGGATGGACAAACTTCCCATGCAAACAGCTCCTTGATTTCCCTCTGAGTGAACAAACGTGGAGCACTGAAAGGGAGGAAAGCACTTGCAACGATTTGGAATTTGGGTGGATTCACCTTCCTCCCCCATGAAAGGGTTTTGCTTCACTGTTGCCCGAGGATGCAGCTGCTGGCTTTGTTCTCTGCATCTCTCCCGAGAATTATCCCCAGTGATTTGCTCTTTATGTGGATTTGCTGCTGCTCTTTCTCCCCAGCACTCTCTTTCTCTGATGCTGTAAGATCTCTGCCACTTTCAGGCTAAATCCCTGAGTGGAAAATCTATAAAAAGCCAAATCCTGGAATCTGGAGTTTGTTTTCTCTACTATGAAATATTTAACTTGGCTTACAGAAGTGGTTCTCCCATCCTTCAGCCATCTGCTCCTCTTAAAATATGTTTCTTTGTTTCAAGCTGAAATGAAAAAGGCAGAAAACCTTTTGAGGCTCCACCTTTCTTTCCATTATTTTTTAATTTCAGTATTTTCAGAGAAAAAAACAGGGGTGTTGTTGTGGGGCTGGAGTCCCAGTAGCAGGGAGACCCCAAACTGGGGCTGTTCCAGGTTTTCTGAGCAGCACAGGAATGGCTTTTCTGGGGGGTGATGAGGGCAGACTGGGGAGCAGCACATCCCTGTCCTGTGGAGCGCTGGCTGGGAGGCTGCAGGGAGCTGATCTCACTGCTGGGGCTGGTTTTGGGGTYAGGGTGATAACCTGGGCTGATCCCTGATGATCCATGGGGCCTCCACATCCCAAATCTTGGTGCTACCTGGCACGGATCAGGGAGCAGAGCTCACCCTCCCTTTCCTCAGAGTTCCATGGTGCCTGTGGGGGATGTCTCCTGCTTCCCCAGCCCTGTGTGTTCCCTTGCAGGTGAACTTCAACGAGCCCCTGTCCATGCTGCAGCGGCTCACCGAGGACCTGGAGTACCACGAGCTGCTGGACAAGGCGGTCAAGTGCGAGAGCTCCACGGAGCAGATGTGCTTTGTGGCCGCCTTCTCCGTGTCCTCCTACTCCACCACTGTCCACCGCACTGCAAAGCCATTCAACCCTCTGCTGGGAGAGACCTTTGAGCTCGACCGCCTGGACGAGCTGGGCTTCCGTTCCCTCTGCGAGCAGGTGAGGGCTGGGGGCTCCCCGGGGCTCCTGTCCTGCTGGGGACACCAGCACCTGCTCACACCGAGCCTGCCYGGGGCCCTGCTGTGGGGACAAGGTCGTGCAGTGCCCGGCCCTGGGCACAGGAAGGGCCTGGAGGTGGCACTGGATGCTCTGGGCTGGGGACAAGGTGGGGATGGGGCACAGGTTGGGCTGGAGGGGCTTGGCCCTTTGTGCCCAGGTTTGGAGCAGTGGCTGCAGCAGGTGCCATGCTCTGCCACCAGCTCCTTGCAGGACAGCCATGTGTGGGCAAAACCCTTCTGGGAGTGCCAGGCATGTCAGGGTCCTGTGGAACGCTGGCCCGGGACAGGACAGCACTTTCCATCCCATCCGTCCCATCCCGTCCATCACATCCCACCCCACCCCACCCCCCCCCCCCCCCCCCCCCCCCCCCCCCCCCCCCCCCCCCCCCCCCCCCCCCCCCCCCCCCCCCCACCCCCCTCTGCTGTGCTGCTCCAGGCACTGACAGGGCCGTGGGGTCTCCTGCAGGTGTGACCCTGTGTTTGTGGCAGGTCCTGCAGTAGATAGATAATCCCCAAAATTCATGGCCCTGCTGTCCCTTCGCACCACCCAGAGCCGTGTGCCCGATGTCCCCCGGCTCTGCTCGTCCCCGGGTGGTCCRTCCCAGCCTGGCAGCCATCCCAGTGCCCATGGCTGCAGCAGCAATGGAGCGCTGCCAGCTGGGATGTGAGCCAGGGCAGGAGCCAGGGCAGAGGTGGCCATGTCTCTGAGCACCCCCTGGCACTGGGGCTGTCACGGAGCTCAGGCTCACCCACCTCAGCACTGCCACACCTTCCCCTCCCCTCCCTGGCAGCAGTCCCTGCTCTGTCAGCTGCTTTAGCCCGGAGGTGGGTGATTCCTTGCCAGGATCCATYCCTGAGCCAGCAGCCCCCTCACCCTCCTGGGGTACAGCTGGAACTCCTGGATGGGTTTATCAGCCTCATTCCTGCTGTGGTGCCAGGCCCAGGGCTGCCTGATCCCCCAGGTACCTGTGACCACATCTCTCCCATCCCGCCTGTCCAGCATCATTGGACACCCCTGGTTACATTACTCCAACCCCTCCTCATTCCTTCACCCTCCTCTTCACCACCCTCCTTCCTCCAGCCCCGTTCCCTCACAAATAAATAACCTGCCTGGAATTACCTGCCCAGGTTGATCCCAGTTTTCCTCGGTCTGTACCCAAATTTGATATTCTAGACCAATTCCAGACACCTTTCCCACCACTCTGAATTTTCCTTGGGTGCTGCCTGTGCCGCTCAGCCGAGCCAGGCAGTGCTAATCCAGTGCCTCAAATCCAGTTATCCAAATAGGATTTTCTGCTGCTGGTGGGATTTAATGSCGAGGCCTTGGCCCTGCCTGTGTGTGTAATCCAGAGCTCAGGGCTGTAATTACAGCAGGAAAATCATCCCGGACCTCTGGGGTCCTGGTACTGAGTGGCTGTGCCAGGCTGAGGCCCTGCCTGAGGTCAGATCCCTCTGCCTGGGATATTCCTGCTCTCACCTTTGTTTTGGGTAGTTTTTCCAGGGCAGGGCATTGTGAGTGCTGTCCTTTAGCAAGTCAGTCCCACGATTTGGGATGCTGTACCCACTTTTCCAGCCTGGTGGGAGTGTTTAAGGGTGTTTTGGACAGCCTGGGGATTCTGTGAGTTCCCAGGTGGGGCAGTGGCAGCTGCTGCTGTCACACTGGGATTGCTGGGGCGTTTCTCAGCTGGGATCCATGGAGAACCAGGCCATGTCCTGGGATCAGGGAACAGCAGCATCTCACAGCAATGGTTACTCAAGCAGAGATTTTCTGGCTCATGCTTTGAAACAAGCCTCAGCGAATCCTGGCAGAAGTCTGGTGTGCCCCCTTTGCTGCCAGGGCACCTCATGGGATGAGACTGTGGTGCCCAGGGTGGCACAGCCGGTGTGGAGCAGTCCCCTCTCGGAGCGCTCAGCCAGGCTCCGCGGTGRCCGTGTCCTCACGGGCTGTGTGTCTGTCCCCAGGTGAGCCACCACCCCCCAGCAGCCGCCCACCACGTGTACTCCAGGCGAGGCTGGACCTTGTGGCAGGAGATCACCATCGCCAGCAAGTTCAGGGGCAAATACCTCTCCATCATGCCGCTGGGTAGGTCACGGCTCTGGGGCTGGCTGGGGTTGATGGGCCCTGCTCTGCTTATGCAAAACCCAGCGGGTGAAGGAACTCTGGGAATTGCTTGGTTTACCAGAGAATCCTGTGGGCTCTGCTGAGGGTTTGGGAAWTCCTTGGGGTCAGCTGGGGCTCGGTGAATCCCACCCTGAGTAATGGAAGGAGCTCAGATTTGTGCYCCTGATCCARTGATCCACCCATAACACCTYTGCCCTGGARATGGAAATGATGCCAGCTGCCAAGKGAGGCTGCTGTSCTCTGGAAATACCCACCTCATCCAGGAATTGATTTCTCCTTCCATGAGATTTAAACTTAACTTGTGGTCGTTTTTAACCYTCTCCCTGCCAGTGAAATACAATAAGCTGCCAGCATTTTATTTTCCTTCTGCCTGTCCCTGGGCTGGGCAGCATTCCCAGAGTGGTGCCAGGGCCTGAATCAACCAGGCAGYGCATTCCTGACCTGCTTTTGAAATGAGTGTTTTGGGCAGAGGGCAGAGGGCCTGGCAGGAATTGTAACTCCCTTTCTGGAGCAGGAGGGAGGGAGTGGGAGGAGGGATGGATCCAGAAGGATGAATTCCCCCCTGCTTGGGGGATTGCAGGTGCAGGGCTGGCCCTGAGGATGAGCACGGTGCTGGGGTTGGTGACGGGCTCTGGGGAACATCTGTCTCTGCATTCCTGTCTTTGCAGGCGCCATCCACCTGGAGTTCCACTCCAGCGGCAATCACTACGTCTGGAGGAAAGTCACCTCCACCGTGCACAACATCATCGTGGGCAAGCTCTGGATCGACCAGGTGAGTGATGGGACAGGTCCTGCCTGGCCTGGCCCAGCTCTGGGGGCTGAAGGGGTCCCCAGGATGGGACAGCTGTACATTCAGCGCAGTCCCAGCCCAGCCAGGGGCTGCACCCACAATGGACAATGGCTCACGGCTTTTTCACCCTTTCTCACTTTTGTCCATTTGCACATCGGG